TGTCAGAGGTGACCGCGGCACAGAGAATGTGAGAGTGAGAGATTTTCAACGTTTCTTGCGGCGAAATACAGAGGATGCCTCTGAAATTGACAGCTATATTGAAGGGGCAAGCACGTCAAATCAGAGAATTGAAAGCTGGTGGGGATTCCTCAGGAAGGAGTCTATGGAGTTCTACATATCTCTCTTGGTTGATCTGAAGGATCGTGGCTTGTACGATGGTACATATCTGGACAAAAGTCTTGTTCAGTTCTGCTTCCTGGGCATCATACAGGTAAGAGTGAGATTTGTTATCACGTTTTTACCAATAAACCACTTACAACAATCATTGTAACATCTCAACCTATTTATTGTAATAAACTAATTTGTCCTTGGCATATGAATATCATTTAAAAAAAATACATGCAAATTGCAAAACGATTAATTTTCTGAAGGTTCTAGTGTATACTCACCTCCTGTTAGTAGATACTACATAGTCCACAATCACATTTAAATATAAAGTAAAATCAAAATTAAGACATATTGTTTTCAGTGATTTAATTTGTAAGAATAACAAACAAAACAAATACACAATGCAAACAAAAGCAATAACTGGGTTCTTCAAGCATGAGCAAGTAACATAATTCTTAACATTTCTCTTCCAATTTAAAATCAAAACTCATCTCATTTACTGAAATGGAGGATACCTTTTTATGGCATTACTTGACTTTTTCTGTTTTGTCAGGATGAGCTGGATGAGACAACCTCCGTGTGGGATTCACACATCATTCGACCATCAAAAAATGACAGAGTGCCAAGTGGCCGACCCAAAGTCATGTACATGTTCCCGGATCTCTACTCAACCAGGGATTACATTTCCCCGGTAAACAGCAATGATGCACAGCTGTGTGTTACAGACTGTACATTTCGACCTACAACGCCATGTGACACAGACATCAGCAATCTCTGCAACTTYCTGATGGCAGAGTCTCATTTGCAGCTTCCATCTGATGGTTTCCAAGCTGTAGATTTGTATTTGTATTTGAGAAATAGTATTAGATCCAGTCTCTAAGTTATGTTGGTTTCCAGATGTTAATTTAGTTTTTTCAGATGTTTTATAAATGACTGACGACACAAAACCCATAGGCACCACATTAATCAGTTAAGTATAAGACGCCCAAACAAAATTCAGATGAAAAAACTTTTACTGGCCTGTTTTCAATTGTGCTCATCTGTTTACATAACAACAAAAATGCTACATTGTTAAGTAACATTTACTGAACGAGACTGAAAATTGTCATCAGTTATTAAACAAGAAATGGCATTAATAGTGTCAGTATCTTTGTCTTCATGAACCTTTTTTTTTAAAAGTAACTAAAAATAATAATGATAATAATAATTGGTGAAACTCTAACAGTATGTTAGGGAATTTTAAAACA